TAATCCCGAAATAACTGGAACACCACTTGAATACAAATAACTGGAACACCAGTTGATGGTGACAAAATCACCATCAGTCAATTGCAAAAGGAAGCTTTACTCACAATCTACATTCTGCAATCATACTTTTGGCACCATCAAAGAATAACATCTGTCTATCTCAGGTCCTTGGGAAGAACTCAGTAGGTAGACAAAAATATCAAATCCAGTCTAAACATCTGGCTGATTATGTGACGAACCATCATCATCCTCACCATCATTGCATTAGACCTGATTAATGAGACTTTCCGAATCTTCCTTCTTTAGTAACATGCTTGCTGAAGACTTGACAGATCAACTCTGAAAAGTCTCCCACAAACAGGTTACTAAAAAATGTGTTTATAGCCATCAACTAATACGAATTTAAAATAGAATTAGTGATGGAAGTTGGATTTTTCAATGGATGCTAGTAGTAAGAATACACATCTTAACTCCAATCCTGGAAAAATGACAGTTCTGGAGAACATGAGCTGCAGGGTGCCTTTGGGGTCAATTTATGTTTATGATTTCTCAGAAGCATGTGACAGGCTGCTGGTTGGCTATTGGGTCAAACAGGGTGCCAGAATAGACTTGACAGTTCTACACAGCTCGTCTTATATTTTTGGTTTCTGTGCTCTGTTAAGACATTTAAGGATTATTCTGAAGCTGCTAACCCATCTCCTGTGTTAGCAAATGGGACTAAAAGGGGGCATTCTCAAATGGAACTATTTATTTATTTATTTATTTATTTATTTATTTATTTATTTATTTGGTTTGTCAAGCATGTATGAGAAAATAAGTATAAGTATGAATATAACATATAAACATGCAAGTATAAGCAGGTATAAGTATATACATAAGAAATACAAATAAATGGGAACAATAGGACAGGGATGGTAGGCACTCTGGTACGCTTATGCACACCCGAACCCTTACAGACCTCTCAGGAATGAGGTGAGATCCACAGTAGACAGTTTAAGGTTAAGGTTTTGGGGATTTGAATATATAACAGAGTCAGGAAGTGCATTGACCACTCTGTTGCTGAAGTTGTATTTTCTGCAATCAAGTTTGGAGCGGTTTGAGTTTATATCTATTGTTTGCCTGTGTATTAATGCGGTTGAAGTTGAAGTAGTCACTGACATGTAGGACGTTGCAGCTGACAGTTTTGTGTATTAAGCTTAGGTCAGATCGTAGGTAGTATAGTTCTAGGTTGTCCAGGTCCAAAATTTCAAGCCTGGTGGCATAAGGTAATTCTACTGTGAGCAGAGGAGTGGAGTACTCTTTTCGTGAAATATCTCTGGACTCACTCAATTGTATTAATGTCCATTATACAGTGTGTACATAGAAATTAGAAATTAGTACAGATAGAAACAAATGAAAAGTCTATGCTGTAAAGGAAATGGGGTGCATAAATGAACCAAGTTAAGGAAGATGATGGAGAAAAAAAGTTAGCCAGATTTCACTTAATTCTTCAGGAAGTAAAATAAATAAATAAATAGTTAAAGGCCTCAGAACCAAGGTCAGCTATTTTTCTTGGATTGGAACAGAGCTTTTCCTTTACCCACAAATGTATCAAGTCCCATTTCCCATATTTGCAAGGAGCCATGATGATAATGAATCCACTGGGAGGATTGGACTTGAAATGGTATGAACAGAAAATACCGAGAACCACTTAGGAGGAGGCAACAGATCAATTCCTATAGCAATAAATTATACAAACAAATAAATAAATGCATATGTGCAGAGGGGAACACGAGAGGAACCCAATGAATATATGTAGCAATCATCCCAGATTTTAAAAAAGCAAAGGCTAGAACATTATAGATGGAGAACATTATTATAATTGTGGAAGGTTAGGGCTGCTTGCCAATGAAGATAATGCAGCTTCACCAAGTAACAAGTTTAAAAAATGAATTCCCTGCCCCCAAGGGACTTTAATCAACATTTCCATTATACAGAGTATAATGATTGGATCAAATGAAAGGCTTGTGAAGTGCAACGTCTTGTTTCCTACATTTGCCAACTGGATAGCTGTGGGAAGCCCGCAGGCATATAGGAAATCAAGTCCCTTCCTCTGCAAACAGTATTCAGTAGCATGAGCAGTAGCCCCTTCGAATTCTGGCTATGGAGCTTCCATTTAAAATCACAGGTAGTTAGGAAGGGAAAGGCAAAGCCAGTCAAGAATAAATGCCAGCCAAACACAAAATCTATGCATGTTGTTTCAATTGAAAAGAAGAATGTTGGTGTGAAGTTGGTGGCTTCAAAAACCAAGCAGCACAAAAATAATTTCTTGGGCTGGAATTCTAGGTAACGGGAGGCAGCAAAAGACAGAGAAGGAAAGGAAAGTATTTAAATTTTAAGAGACCCTTGCAGAGGGTTTTAAAAAAAGGGTGTGTGTGTGTGTGTGTGTGGTTTCAATCTTGTTTTGGTAGAAAAGATTTTTTTTAAAATACAGGTACAGATATTTTAAGTCTATTATGAGTTATATTAGTCACTTCTTGCCATGATTGATAACAATAGGGAGAAAAAGGATGTTCTTATAAGGAGATTGATGTTGTATCAGAGGAAGGTCAGAAAGCAGACAAAGAAAACCGGAGAGGGGAAACAAGGATAGAAAGTTAACCAGGGAGGGGAAGAGAGGGGTATCATGAGCACTCCTGTAGCTGGGCCAAAGAAAATCCCTGCGGCCACATGTGCTCACTGACCTGAGCCATTTCATGATGAATGCACATCTCTCTCTCCCACGTGAAGGCCTCCGGAAAACACAGGTCAGAAAGCAGTGGGGGAAGCCAATGGAGGCAAAGGACTAGGCTGCGATGAATGAAAACAAGAAGTGTTGGGGTGTGCAGGGCCTGGACAAGAAAGGGAACAGAACTAGAAGACAAAAGAAGGAGATGGGGGCACCTTCCAAACAAAGAGGCTAGCTTCAAAAATTATTTCCCCGTTCATTCACTGTTTATAAACCACCTGCAGTATGGTCATTCAAACATCATTATATTTTCACCCCCCACCCCTATTCCCAATTCTTCTGTTTGTTTTTATATTCCTTCTCTTTAAAAACAAAACTGGGGTCAATCATCTTAAAGGCATTATCCAATTCCTTCGCTTCCTTGTTTTAACTCATCCAGTTGATAGTGCTTCTTCTGCTATAAGCAGCCACTGAGGAAGGATTCCCTCCCCCATCCAATGTTTATAGTACAGAAATCCAGTGATTTAACAGAGCAGTGGGTTTAGCACACTGTTTGCATGATCACAAGTGAGAGTGCGGCATAATTCTCCCCTTCGTATGCCAGCCATCTTGTATTTGACAAAGCAAAGTGCAAACTAGTCTGCAGAGCAGGAATAGCAAAGCCAGACCACAACAAAGCCCCTTTAAAATATTTCCATACCACATTATATTTAACTCCCAAGATGTGATTATCAGTACCTGTTCATAGGAGCCTATTACTGTACAAGTTAACAATAGAAAGGAGTCAAATAGGAAGTACTATGATATATTTTCTCTTCTCTTTTCAAAACATTGCATATGCAGAAGTCACAACAGTTCTATACAGTCAAATATATATGTTTATATATTTTGAATCCCCATCAAACTTTCCTCAAGACCATAATTGGTAACTTGAGTTAAACAATAAACTTCAAAAAGAATAAACATCTACCTATGAATGAGACCTACATTCTTCTTTTGCATACCAGCAGTTTTCTCCCTTAAATATTAATGAAGCTGTTACTCTGCTGACATGAATATGCTCCTTCCAAATATCTACATAACAATATTCTCCAAAAAAAGCACCAGTTTGGGATAATGGCAAATGCTAGAAACTGAGGGAGATGGTGAGTTCTAGTCCCATCTTCTGAAAAACCTTGCCAAGAAAAATGTGGGGTTTTGCCCAAGCAATCTCCAAGAATTGGATATGTTTGAATAGATGAAAAAAATCACCAATAAAGCAAAAGTACATCCTTGAAACTAATTTCAGCTCAATACTTTCTTGCCTCAATGGTTGAATCAACCCTGAAATCAGTACAATAGGTTTTTTTTTAATTACATCATAAATTACAGGAGATCCACAGATGTTCAGAAGATAAGAGGGTGATAATTCCTCAGAAATACCATCTAAAGATTGCTATCAAGAATGGCGAGAGTCCCAGTGGAGGGTTATCTTATGCAGTTGTTTATATTAAATTTAAATGTGAGATTTTTATCACTTTCTACTCTCTTCAACATTATTGAAAAGTGTGGGGTTTTTTTCTTACTTTCTATAAATCCCAAGGACTAGAACTTTTAATTTATAAAACAACCATCAGAACCATTTTGTTGCCTTCTGTAGTGTGGACATTTGTAATAACTCAAATAATTCTAATGTCTTTCAGGATTCACAGAAGCTTAGTATCTCTGAATGGCAAGAAATTTGGGGGTTTAATAATAAATCAGCATTTGAGCATATTTAATATTTATTAAATATATAAATTAAAGAGTGGGACTGAGACATGATGCATTCTAAAAGCCAACGAATGTAGCCTCTGGATTATTATTTTTTTTTAGAACTGGAAAACTCAAGATTTGAGAATTTTGATCAGCTTTCCTCCAGCCATACAATATATCTGGGGTAAAATACTTAGAAGTAGCATTTAACGATCAGTACTCACAAGAGCAAAACTGCCTAGCAAAGGATCAGAAAAGATCTTCAGTTAGCTCTGACAACATTAGTCAGCAGTACATGCCACTTGTAAATAAAGAAGCTGGGAATAAGTATTTGACATAATGGGAAAGGTGGAAGGAAAGAGAAGACCAGGACATCTAGCAGCAAGATGGATGGATTCGGTTCCAGTGCCAGCACTGTGGGAAGACCTGAAAGAATAGATTAGGGATAGACTGTCATGCAGAAAAAATTACCTTATGTGATCACTAGAAATCAAAAAATTATTTGGTGGCACATAATCAATAATATTTCTATTATGGAGTGAATCAGTTTTGCATTTACCTTCTAAAGAAGATGCTAGGCCAAGAAGGCACATTATCCATAGCCAAACCATTATCACTGCATGTTCCTTCATTCTCCTGATGATGTTAGGATCCATTTAGTTTCTCCAGCACTTCCAGCATCTTCCATAAACCAGAGTTCTCACAACAGTTATTCCAGAGGACAAGAAAGGCCACACGTCTGAATGTAAAAGTGCAGGCAGCTCCGCATGAAAAGAGGTGAAGGGCTCTGCAATAAAAGAAGTGATAGACAAAAGCTATTATACTAATCCTTCTAAACCAACTAACTCTGAAAAACTCCCTGATTTAATATCCTACCACGAAAGGCAAAAAACATAAATCATTATTTAATAAATTTTTTCTTAATTATCCTAAAAACCTACGTACACTTGCCCTGAAAGAATTGTTTTGCATAAATTGGACTTCCCTTTGGAGCATTTCTCCTTGCAAGTTCAACCTTTGTGCTAGATTGCATGCTATGAGTAGTGTCTATTTTAAACATTTTTGAAAGGACATTCCACTACAAATGATAGAAATTGAAACATAAGGTTGTAACATAATCCTCATTTTCATAGCTTCTTCTTTGGGGGAGACCACGGGTATGCCATTTAGATCTGCTAGAGGAAATAGTTATGCAATATAAAAAATAAGTAAATATTCCCAGCCACATCCCAGTAACAGCTTTCCTTTGCACTTTTGTAATTTTTCAATTTCAATTTCATTACCTATGTCATGTCAGAACTAACAGTCTTTATATCCATCGTGAATAACAAGTATTCTTTTCTAATTTTAAACATAAACAGAGACAAGTTGGTGCCAGGCTAGAAACTGGGAAATTGTGAGTTCTAGGCCTGCTTTAGGCACAAAGTCAGCTGGTGATCTTGGGCCAGTCCCCTTTTCTCAGCCCTCGGGATCAGGTAAGCACTTCGGAAAAAACCTCGCCAAGAAAACTGCAGGGACTTGTCCAGGCAATTGCCAGGAGTCAACTTTCATGTCCTGGCTTCAGCAAAGGCAGAAACAATCCATGCAGTTGTTAAGCAAAGTATTGGAATGGAGCGGGTGCTTGGGGGTGAGGCTTGCAAGAACATCAGGAAAGCTTATCTGGAGAGATGGCAGGAGTTAGGCAGGGGGAAGACAACATAAAAAAATGTTGAGGAAGCAGGAGGAGTATGCCTGGGTAGACTAAAGCCTGAGGAGAAGGCATAATTCAACTAGAAAGTCAGTAATCCAATATCAAGCAATAGCTTGAAAAGTACTGAGGGATGAGCCAGAAACTTGGTCAGAGACACGTTGAGGTCAAAACAAAGCAGGAGTAGAAAATAGGAAATCAAGTGGCTTTCAGCAATGGAAGCTGCCTCCACACAGTTTAAATTCACTCCCCTCTGAGCACACCCAGGTGAGGCTCTCCCTGCTCAGAGGTTGCCAATAATGAAGCACTGGGCTTGATTGTACAGCCAGCATCTTGCCACTTGCTCATGAGGCACTTAGTTTCCAGGGTGCAGGATTCTAATGCCAGGAAAGGTCTCCCTGCTTCTTGGAGGCCCTGAGATCAACATTCACTCAAAGCCATACGGACACATAGTATCTTTGCATAGCATCTTTTTTCTGCACTCCCAAGAAATCATGCATGTAATGTATGTTCTATTCAATTCTGCCGAAGTTTCATTATTTATTCTAGGTTTTCTTCAAAGATATTTTATCTATGCAACTTCTAATTAGAACTGGATGAAGAAACTGTGCTGTGATACCAGGCTACCAAATTCACATTTCTGAAATCAGGATGTGAGTCAGGAAATAATTGAAATTCAGGATTTATAATTTTCAGCATGTTTCTGAAGAGTTATCCAAACATATATGTGTATGTTAGGGACATTGGTACAAAAATAAAATTATTGTTTAGAAAATGTACAAAGAAGCTTTTAATGTAAGTGAAACTGCTTACAAAAAAAAATCTGGGCTATGTAAGGACATGCATTAGGAGTCGTGTACAGAGTTTCAAAGTACAGAAAATGAAGTTTTTCTACACAAAATGTATGCTTTATATGACACTGGACACTCAAGAAGTAGTACCGAAAAAAGGCATAATTAAATGAATTAATGGCAGTCACTCATATTAAGTGAACTAATTTCCCACATTCAGCAATTATGTACCACTGCATACCAGCTGATGGACAAATGTGCCATCTGGCTCCATGCTTCCTAGATATCTGGCTGGAGATAGTGATGATTATATTTTCCTTTTTATTAGCAGATACCATGTGCCTTCTAAGAGAGAGGTCTTAATGCTATCAAGCAAAGCGGTCAAATTTGCTATTTCATCTTGAATTGATATTTTTCTGGTAGGAGAACATGGTGAAAATTGAAATGGACTAGGATAGATTTGAATGGACTGGACTGGAATGGAATATGGAACAGAATGGAATGGACTAGAATGGAATGTGGAATAGAATGGAATGGAATGTGGAGTAGAATGGAATGGAGTGGGAACCAGAATACAATGACACCTGAGCTTCCGAAAATTTCTATGACTGAAGCAGGACAACTGAATTATAAAAACATATCTGAGTCACAAAGTACACAATAGAGACAGGCCAAAACTGCTTGGAACTGAAATAGATTTATAGCCAATTCCCATTGTTGGCTGGTAGGTCAGTATTTGCATTCCCTAAGACTCTGTGGGAATTTCAGTTTTTATTTGAGATGTTGACACCAGCTAAACTGTTTCCTACATAAATAATCTGACTTTATACATCCTGTCTTTCTCTATCCAATACCTGTCACTCCTTGTTCTCAGAGGAACTACATGTGTCAAACTATGCTTGAAAAAGAACAAATTTAAGAATAAGAGATTGGGAAAATTAGCAACTCCATCTTTCCTGGATATTTATTTTCTGTGTAGCATTGGTAGTATGGACTTCTAACCAGTCAGAAATGACAGCATAGAAACCAAAATATAAACATTTCTCTTCAGAAACTCAAAAACCACATAATTTGTACTTTGCATCTGGGATGTATTGTATGATTCTGTTATGCAGGCAGGATCCGAGTAAAAGAAGAAAAACAAAATACAACAGCATTTTTACTTGGCCAACTTGGAATCTCTATCTCATTTTCTCTGGCATCTATTTAATTTATTCATAAAGCCAACAAATCCAGAATGATGAATTTGAATAGGCTCATCCAGCCATCTGTCACCTATGACCCAGGAAACTCAATGAAAGAATTCTTAAAAATCTCAAGTAAACAAGCATTTTTGAAAGCCAAAAAGGGTGTCAGAACTGAGTGCACAGCTTTCTTCTGGCACATATCCAAAGCAAGCACCAAGCAACCCAAGTCTAAAGGGAAGCATCTTTTAAACTTTTTACAATTTCCAATCTTTTTAACTTTGGGTAGAAGATAATCTTGTTGTCCTATTTACTGAAGTTTCTAATACCCGGATTTCCTAAAATGGCCTGAAAGGTCTGAAAGTTGCCAGGTCTCAAGGTATGTCCAGATTTTTTTAGTATTTGTTTTACTATACTCTGCGCCAGGGGTGGGTTCGAGCAGTCACTACTGCTGGTTTGCTTGTGTGCTTGATGTGCACTGTGCGCACATGCGCAATGCACTAAAAAGTGTTCTGCACACGCGCAGAAGCAAAAAACAAAATGGCAGCACCTATGGCGCCGCCTGAAGAACCGGTTCAGGAGTGTGGCAGGCCTGGGTCGCTGCCGGTTCCAGGGATCCAGACCACCAAACCATTACCAGTTC